AACCCCTCTATCCAATGATGCTTTAAAACCACACTTTTGCCCAGGATACAAATTTTGTGGAATTTCCAACTTTTAAAAGGGTCGGTAACTTGCGCGGCTTCGCATTTTGGTTCCGTCCGGATTCATCCGAACTCGAAATCAAATTCCGGTTTTTCCTATGTGTAGCCAATAAGCCCACCATGATTGCCCGGTCTATAATCGACTCCTCACGAGACTTTCGACCTGCACACCAAAAATGAAGAAAAACCGGAAAAACACACGAAAAACACAAAGAAAACCAAAATGGAACAAAATACATAATAAAACACAAAACTAACTAAAAACTTACAAAAAGACTTAAAACAGGGAAAAAGAATTACAAAACAATAACGAAAAACGTAACAAAAATGGTACAAACAACTCCCCCACACTGAACTCTTTGCTCGTCTTCCTCCGGTTATCCATAAAACTCAACTCAAATTTGAAAACACGGTCCCCACAAAATGAGTTCAAACGAAACAAAAACTCGTCCCAAGTTATTCTACAAATGATTTACTTAATTCAAATTTCCTTTTTACACGTGCAAAAAGCTATAAATGGTTTACTCAATATGTAGGAAACAATAAGAACCAAACCCAAAAGTCCAATTCCCTTTTTTTATTATTTCTATTTAATGAGTCGTTTTTTCCAAATGAGAGTCGTTAGGACAATAATTACCTAGGTTTACCCTCAGAGTTTGTCCCCGAGTGTCCTAGGCCGGTTTCCCATACTCATTGACCATATCTATCTCGAGTGAGATTATTCAGATCAAGTGGAGTCTAATCCTTTCAACTCTCACGAGCTCATTTTTTTTGTTTTTTTTCGTGAGCTACATTTTTCCAAACAAGGTTTCCGAATGATTATTATCTAGGTTTAGCCTCGAGGGTTTTCCTCGAGTTTTCTAGACCGATTTCCCGGGCTCATTATCTCATTCCATAAAATGGACCGAAACAATAGGAGCCTAATTCGTACTTCCTTGCGAACTCACATCTTATTCACATTTTTTTTTTAAAGGGATGGTAACACAAGGATACATCATAAATATAATAACATGAACATCATAATTCAATCAAGACGTAACACAAGTGTATAGCATAACACGTTAACAATAATCGAACGTAAGACAAGATTGTTTCAAGATCACCAATCGAGAATAAACAAGGGACAAAACAATTTTTTCGGACACAATTGTGGTTTCCAATGTCAACAAATCTTCATTTAATTTTAAGGGAACCGTCAAATTCATCACGTACATCGAGCATGAGAATTATCAATGAAACCAAACGACAATCCAAACTAACCACTTAGTCATTTTAACTTAAAACAAACATTAAGCTTCATATGGGGAAATCGACACAAACACACACCTAAAATGACGCCTAAGCATGCATAATTATGAGATTACTCCCCCACACTTAAACAAAGCAATGTCCTCATTGCTTGACCAAAAAGCATAGGAAAGAACACACAATCACACAAGCACTCATGCGACAAACATAAACTAAAAAATCAAACACACAAGAACACAAATAAGAGAAAAATAAATAAATAAAAGAAAAGTGTGTGCAAACCGAAAATGTATCAAGTCGAGTAATTCTTCCCATATGAAATATTCGCCCATGCTTAACCAGGGCGTTCAGCTCAGTCTATGCCGTAACCTGCAAGCTCGCTCCTTGTCAAGAAAATCACAAAACTCCAAAACTCCCATTATAAAAAAAAATAAAATAAAAATCAACGAAACACACAAGAAAGCAGTAAATCACTTGGGTTGCCTCCAAGAAGCGCTTGTTTAACGTCATTAGCTTGACGAAACCTGTACAACTCAGCCGGGGTCCAAGAAAAAATGACGGTCGTGCCACGCCTTCGTATTCTCGAGAAACGGCAGCATGGGAAGGGTAGCATGACCGCAGACCTGGTGGGCTCGGGTGGCAATGTTCTTGTGGAACCGAGCGTAAACACCAAGGATGGTAATGAAATGACACATGTGGATTTTGCTTTCAATCTTGACGGACTGATCGCGCTTGATGTCATCAAGCTTCAGCACCAACCAAGTGCATTCAAACTCCATTTTCTCTAGTCGAGTATAGGTAAGAGCAATCCTCAATTCTTGACACAGAGCTTTTCTCACTCGAGCTATGTTGTCAACTTCCGGAAGTATAAGCTTATCTGTGGAGCAAATCGAACTAGATCCTACCCACTTTGTATCACAGTGCAACGACTTCGAAGACGAATACTCCAACTTGGAGGAGGGAGGGGTGACTTGAGAATCAAACCCATGGATTTCCTCCTCTGAGATATCAACGTTTTGGTGGAGCTCATCATCTTCTTCTTCTTCTGCCTCACACATTTGCTTCATCATACGGGCTTGAGTATCAAGCATAAAGTGGGGATATTCGACTTGAAGAGAGACATTGGTAACTCGATCCTCCAGGACTTGCACGCGCTCCACTAGATTCTCGATTCGGGACTTAATATTGCTCATTTGGACCGCTTGGGAGGCTAAAAGAGCGAGGACCTGGTCGAGCTTTGCATTGTATTCTGAGGAATCCTCGAGGGACTCGTGTGAATGCTCGATAGGCCAAAAATCCCACTGCTGTTCGTAGGAGTATGTCCAAGTTTGATCATAGTCCCAAGAATCGTGGTATGGAGGTGATTGGTTCAGAGGTGCACACCGAGTTGCGGTCTCCTCTTCCTGAGCTAACCGAGATGTTGCAATTTCATAGATACAGTCGAGCTTCTCATTGAACTGTTGGGACTCATAAGTTTGCTCAACTGTGTAGGGATCCCAATACTGCTCGGAAGAATATGAATATGACTGGTTGTGGTACCCGGTGTGATAACTTGGCTCGTTCTCCCATGATTGGTTGTGCGGATATGGGAAAGCACGATTGAAATTCATAATACCTACACAACAAAACAGAACACTCACACGTAGCCACGAAAAAGAAGGATTTTTTTTTTTTTACTATCGTTTTACTCGTAAAAACATTCAAACGATAAAATTGTTTTATTCGTAAATACTTTCAAACGAAAAAGTCGTTTTACTCGTAAAAACTTTCAAACGAATATAATGAAAAAGATTTTTTTTTATTTTATTTTTTATTTAAAAAATAATCAAGAGAAACACTGAAATTAATCAAATTCACAA